TCATTGCACTCTTCCCAGGTGAGGCAGATAGGTTGCCGGCCACTGGACGGCTACTCACGGTGGCTCTTGGCAGCTCACACTGGCTGCCGTCCGCTCACGCTGGCTGCCGGCCACTCACGGTAGCTCACGGCAGCCCACTGCAGCAGTGCCTGCAGCCTACACCGTCTCCGGCGACTCAAGGCAGCCCAGCTCCAGGTCGAGCTGTTGTTCACCATCTTAGCTGTAGAGGGCAGTGTCACTTGCCCTCATGTGGGATCTGAACCAGGACCCTGCTGCTCAGAGCTGGTGTCCCAAGCCAACCCCTAACCAACACGCCACTCAGCTGGCCCCATGCATCCTTTAGGTCTTTATTTATCATCTTGGCTGGGGCGGAGAGGGGCAGTTTCAGAGGCCTCTACTTGCCTTAACCCAGAAGCCAAGAAACCATTTGGAGGTTTTTCCAACTATCAAATGTGTTCATTCCAGTTATTCATTTGGAGATGGGGCAATGACCATGATTGGGTTCAGTGGACCCATTGCGAACTGGACCTGGGCCAGAATTTCATTTATTCCATGGTTCCCCATATGCTCCAGTGCCGTGATAATGCTTTGGGTCACCAGGTATCAGTGTGAACTCAGACCATATTTAGTAATCTTTGGAATGCCTGGGTAGTTCCTTTTGCCCATGTATAATTTCTTGAGTAATTGGCCCTAGGCCCTTCGGGGAAGGACTGCAGGGCATCATTACCGTGTACACTTACTATGGTGTCACCAGGTCCTACCTCCTGGGAGACCTCGTTCCTCCTTCAGGTAATAGTCTGAGCCTTTTAAAACTGGCTGAATTGGTCAAGAATGGCTCAGTTGGTTAAGAGCACAGTCTCTTGGCAGCTGGCGTGCACTTTTATGAGCTGCCGTGACCGCTGTGAGCAGCCGTCCAATGGCTAGCAAGCGACTGCCTCACCTGGGAAGAGTGCAATGATAATACCAATATGGGCCAGTGAAGCGATGTCCTCCACAACTAGACTAAAGAACAAAAGGACAGCAACTTGTCTGTTCCCCTTCTCTGATTCCCCAATGCTGTTCCCCTCCCACAATTCCCCAATAAAATCTTGCAAAAAAATAGAGTGCGATCTCTGAGCAACAGGGTCGCCAGTTCAATTTCCACATGGGCCAGTGAGCTGCTCCTGAGCTGAGTTGCCAACAGGTGGCAGTATGGCTGAGCTGGTGAGAGCACGTGCTCCTAACAACAAGGTTGCCGGTTCTACTCTTGCATGGGATCGTGGGCTGCACCCACCCACAACTAAGATTGAACAAGGCATCTTGAGCTGAGAGGCCGAGAGCTGCTGACAGGCGGCTGGATGGCGACTGGACTTGGAGCTGAGCTAGCTGCATCCTCCACAACTAAGATTGAAGGACAACAACTTGGCTGTTCCCCTTCCCCAATTCCCCAATAAAATCTTTAAAAACAAAAACAAAAAACAAAAACAAAACTGGCTGAGGTGTGGAAAATAGGCCAGAGATCATGATTTTTGTATGGGGCACAGGGATCAGCCTCTCTCCATCTTTGATTTAATTGTTTAAGCTATACCCTGTTGACCCATCTGTCTTGCTGCTAAGAATGTTGTATTCTATAAATCATCTCCAGATCACAGGCTCTGAAATCTCATATTAGAGTTTGCATCCTTGTTCCATTTCTGATATAACTTTCTTAGGCTGGGTTCCCTGGGAAACGGTGGAGTTTTACTTGCAGGAGGTTTCTTGGGGAGTGCCCTCAGGAATAACTGCTTATGAGGGAACAAGGCAAGTCTGACTGGCAGAAGTTGAACTGTGACTCAGTTGCACCCAGACTCAGCTAATGCCACAGGGTGCCCTAAAGTTGGGAAGGCCCTTCAGAAGTATCTGGAATTGAGGCAAGGAGATTGGGCTTTCATACCCCTCATTAGCCAGGCACTGGGTGCAGGCTGTCCCTTAGGCATGTCATTAGATAAGGCAGTCCCCCTCAACCCATGGCAGTTCTGGAGACAGACTCAGTTGTAAGCCATCAGATTGCAGCGTTGCTGGCAGTTGGGAGAATAAACCCATCAGTCCTGGAGAGGCGAACCTGAGCAGTGTACCCCAGCATCCACTATATTTCTAGAACCAAGAAATTGGTTTCTGGCCACTTCTCTCTGAATTCCTAAATATAAGCACCTGATGTTTTAAAAATTAGAGCTAAGGTCTAGATAAATCCTATTCAATTTTAATTTGAGGTTACTATTGTTTTAAAAATAAGGCAGAAGGGAGATCCTTTAAACAGAAAATTTTACTTAACTGTGGACATAATGTGTGCTTACTCTCTCTGAGAATTGCAGGGAGCTAGAAGACAAGAAAAAGATTCAGACTCTTTTGGCTCTTGTGGGAAAAGACACTGGAGAAGTGACCTATTTTTATAAGGAGCCTCCCAACAAAGTAAGTAATATTTGGTACAGAAAGCATGGTGACATGTCTTTTTCAGAACACAGGCTAGAGTCCATAATCAGAGCAATTTTGGTGCTTGCTAAAGTTAGGAGAATTAGCTATCATACTCTCATGTCTACCTAAGTTTTCAAAGCATTTTCTGTAATTACGAAGAACTTTATGATTTTATTCTTTTTCTTCAGAATCCTTGGGAAGTAGCATTGTTTACCCTTTCACCACTTGGAAACCTACAGCACAGAGGAGTAGGTGTTTTAGATGAGATGAGAGAGGAAAGCAGGAGCAGACTTAATGTGGGAGCAAGTTTCAATAAAGTTTCTTTTGATTACAAAAGCAATCCAGGGCCTTTATTAAGAACAAACACACAGAGGGCCGGCTGAGTGGCACGTTGGTTAGGAGTTGGCTTAAGACGCCAGCTCTGAGCAGCAGGGCCCCGGTTCAGATGCCACATTAGGGCCAGTGATGCTGCACCCTCTACAGCTAAGATGGTGAACAACAGCTCAACCTGGAGCTGGGCTGCTGTGAGTCGCCGGCGACAGTGTAGGCTGCAGTGGGGCTGGCCAGCAGCGGGCATGAGCTTTTGTGAGCTGCTGTAAGCAGCTGTCCAATGGCCGGTGAGCGGCTGCCTCACCTGGGAAGAGCACAATGATAATACCAACATGGGCCAGTGAAGCGACATCCTCCACAACTAAACTGAAGAACAAAAGGACAGTAACTTGTCTGTTCCCCTTCCCCGATTCCCCAATGCTGTTCCCCTCCCCCAATTCCCCAATAAAATCTTTTTTAAATAAATAAATAAATAAATAAATAAATAAAAGCCAACACAGAAATCTACCATAAAAGTAGTGGTCTCCCATAATCTGTATTCCAAAGATAAAGCTCTTTTTCCATCTGTATAGAAATATTTATATGTGTATATACTGTTTCATTTTTTCAGTTCTATAAATAGTGCCTCAGTGAGCATCTTTATATACAGAGGGTGCCAAAAAAATGTGTACATATTTTAAGAAAGGAAAAAACTATTAAAATTGTAATACTCAATATATACCAGTAACAAAAGATGAATACAAGTCACGTGTGACTTCTGCAATTACAAGAGATGCTCAAAGCAGTTACTATCAGCGTCCNTTTGTTATCAGTATATATTGAGTATTACAATTTTAATGTTTTTTCCCTTTCTTAAAATGTGTACACATTTTTTGGGCACCCTCTGTATATACCACATTTTGTTTATCCATTCGTCTGTTGGTGGACATTTGAGTGGGTTCCACCTGCTAGCTATTGTGAATAACACTGCTCTGAATGTTGGTGTACAAATACATGTTTGAGTTCCTGCTTTTAATTCTTTTGTGTATTTACCCAGAAGCGGAATTGCTGGATCAGATGCTAATTCTGTAACACTGGCAGCACCATTTTATATTCCCATCAGCAATGCACAAGGGTTTCAGTTTCTTCATATGCATGCCAACTCTTGTTTTCTGTTTTTTTAATAATAGCCATCATATTGGGTGTGAAGTGGTATCTTGTTGTTTTGATTTGCATTTCCCTAGTTAGTGATGTTGAACATTTTTCATGTGCTTGTTTATTAGTTATTTATCTTCTTTAGAGAAATGTCTATGCAGGTCCTTTGCACATTTTTGAACTGGATTGTTTGTTTTTGTTGTTTAGTTTTAACAGTTTTTTATGTATTTTAGATATTAATCTCTGATCAGATAAATGATTTGCAAATGTTTTCTCCCATTCTCAGGGTTGCCATCTTACTCTGTTGATCGTGTTCTTTGATGCACAAAAGTTTTTAATTTTTATAAGGTCCAATTTTCATAGTTTTGCTTTTGTTGCTTCTGCTTTTGGTGTCATATTCAAGGAATCATTGCCTCCAATATCACTATTTTTTCTTCTAAGAGTTTTATAATTTTACCTCTTAAATTTAAGTCTTTGATCCATTTTGAGATAATCTTTGTATATGGCGTTAGGTAAGGGTGTGACTTCATTCTTTTGCACATGGATGTGCAGGTTTCCCAGCACCATGTGTTGAAAAGACTGTCTTTTCCCCATTTGACCATATATACAGGACTTATTTCTGGGCTCTCTCTTCCATTGGTCTATATGTCTGTCATTATGCCATTATCACACTATTTTGATTACTATAGCTATGTAGTAAGTTTTGAATCAGAAAGTGTGAGTCCTCCAGCTTTGTTCTTTTTCAAGAGTCTCCTGAGATTTCATATGAATTTTAGGATGGATTTTTTTATTTCTACAAAAAATGTCATTGGGATTTTTATAGGAATTGCACTGAATCTATAGATGCTTTGGGTAGTATTGACAACTTAATATTAAGTCTTCCAATCCATGGACATAGGATGTCTTTCCATTTATTTGTGTGTTCTTTAACTTCTTTCGCACTGTTTTCAGTGTACAAGTTTTTTACTTCCTTGGTTAAGTTAATTCCTAAGTATTTTATTCTTTTTGATGCTACTGTAAATCGAATTATTTTCTTAATTTCATTTTGGATTATTCTTTGTGGTGTATAGAAATGCAGCTGATTTCTGCATGTTGAATTTTTGTTCTACTTTGCTGAATTAACATCAGTTGTAAGAGTTGTGTTTTGTGGTTGTTTGTTTGTTTGTTTGTTTGTTATGGAACCCCTAAGGTTTTCTACATATGAGATAATGTCATCTGTGAACAAAGATAATTTTACTCTAACTGTCCAGTTTGCATGTTTTTTCTTTCTTTTTCTTGCCTATTTGCCCTGGCTAGGACTTCCAGTACTGTGTTAAATAAAAGTTGCAAAAATGGGCATCCTTGTCTTGTTCTTAATCTTAGAGAAAAACTTTTAGTCTTTCACCATTGACTTTGTTGTGGTCTTTTTCATACATGGCTTTTATTTTGTAGAGTTGTTTCCTTCTATTCCTAGTTTGTTGAGTGTTTATATCACAAGAGCGTAGAATGTTGTCAAATGCATTTTCTGTATTAATTGATACTTGTTTTTTTTCCTTCATTCTGTTAATGTGTATCACATTGATCAATTTTCATATATTGAACTATGCTTGCATTCCAGGAATAAATTCCACTTAATCGTGGTGTATAATCCTTTTACTATGCTGCTGAATTTGGTTTGCTGGTATTTTGTTGAGGATTTTTGCATCAGTGTTCATAAGGGATATTGGTCTGTAGTCGTTTTCTTGTGATGTCTTTGTTTGGCTTTAGTATCAGGACAATGCTGGCCTCATAGAATGAGATAGGAAGTGCTGCCTCTTCTTCAATTTTTGGAAAAGCTTGCGACTGATTGACGTTAGTCCTTTAAGTGTTTGGGGTAAGCCATCAGGTCCAGGGTTTCTGTTTGTCAGGAGGTTTTTGATTACTGATTTAGTCTCCTTAAGAGTTTCAGCCTTGACCTAATGCAGAACTTCTTTTCAACTCTGGGCCACATTGAAAGCTCATCTTCCGTGTCACTTGATATATGGATCAGAGCAGTATTCCAAAGTATGGAACATGTTGTCTCCAGAACCTGAAGAATCCATCTCAGAATTATGCTTCCTTCTTGGTAGTGGTAGGTGTGAGATGCAATAATTTTTCCTTTGTTTTGAAGGGAATATCGTGGTATGCCTAAATTGGACTCCTAAAACTTCACTGATATGCTTTGTAAGGTTTACCTCCAACCCTCTAGAGCACATGTATCTCACCAAGGGCCCTAATGCCTTGCCATTTCTTGTCTATTCATTCTGATTTAATGTGATATCATCAATAGTGAACTAATGTGAACTGTGGAATGGCCAGATCCTGGTCCCTTCGGACTGATCTGATAAAGAGCAGAAAAGTTAACAATGGTCCTAGAGAAAGACTATAAAACTATACTGTTGTTCACCACATTAATGAGAACTGCTTGTGGTCCTGTTAGGAATGGGCAAGAATACGTTAGCTTAATCAGTCACCATATACCATGTACCCAAGTCCAAGTTAATCTGCTCTAGCAAATATTACCTCTGGCACAGTAACTGAAATTGGTACCTACTTGATAGTAGTCTACTGTTACCCACCTGATTTTGCGTAGGTCATACCTGTGAATGAAATGAGGATCTGATGGAGACCTCCACCCCTGCATCCTTTAGG